AGTCCAGATGCTCCAGCTCCAAGACATGTGGGTGCTCTGGGTCTGGGCTGGGGCCTGGGACTTTGCTCTGGTCAGTGACCCTTCCTGGGCACAGACCATGTGGTAAGTGTACTGTGGGGAACAGGGCCCTTGGCAGGTTGTTTGCTTTCTATGGCCTCTGTTCCACCAGTAATCACATTCCTCAACTCCACCTCTTTGGGGACATTTTTAGGCACCATATGCTGCACATATCTTAAGCCACATCCCCTCTGCCCTGGACCAGGCCTGCTTTTCTTCCAGTACTTCTGACCTCCATGGAGGTTCCATCAACCCCAGAAATGTGGACCCTGTGTTTGGTGCCCCCACAGCCCATCGGTGCTTCTCCATTCCTGGCCCTCCAGTCTGTTGTCTGCTGTCTTGGGCCTAGATGAGGCCATGTAGCTTCTTTACTGTCCTGCCCTCCCTTGGCCCTGCAGCTCTTTTTTCACTGGGCAGTGCTCCAATCCAGACTTCTGGTTACATGACACCTTCTCACTTAAAACCTTGTGTACCTTTACTAATGCAAGCCAGAGTTCTGGTCTAGGCTGGGGTGTTGCCTCTCCAGGCGTGGGGTGCACCCTCTTGCCTGCCAAGCATGTGACTGCTCTGCCTGAGCCACTAATGAGGAGGCCTTTCCCAAGCCCCAGACCGGGCCCTGCTCCCTGTGACCCTTTCCACGACAGCCGAGCAGCACCCCTTGTGCCTCCTACAGGAGAAGATGCTAGACATCTACTGGCTACTACGCGTCTGCCTGCGGACCATCGAGCATGGCGACCGCACAGGTTCTCTCTTTGCCTTCATGCCCGAGTTCTACTTGAGCGTGGCCATCAACAGCTACAGTGCTCTCAAAAATTACTTCGGCCCCGTGCACAGCATGGAGGAGCTCCCAGGTGACAAAGCCATTCAGGCCTAGAGTGGGTAGGAAAGGGGGCCTTTGTTGTGAGCCCTAAGCAGCCCTGCTCTGCACCCTCATGGCCCAGCAGCACGCATCCATGTAGGGAAGAGGGGAGGCAGCCCCTGCTCTCTTTGGCCTTGTATTAGACAAGCATTTGCAAAAGCCCCACATGGTGGAGAGCACTGCCCTGGAATTAGCAGCCCCGGAGCCAACAGCTCCTCCCGGGTGCTGGGAAGGAGAAACAGGATGGAGTGCCAGGAGTGGGGGCCCCTCTGTTTTCACTTTCTTCTTGCTGCTGTGGTCCAGGAGCCGGCCAGCCTCACTTGGATGCCCTCGCACTAGACGTGGGAGCCCAAGCAAGGGCAGAGCAGCTGGTGTTTGCAGATCGCAGCAAGGGGTGGTGGTGCCCTGCTGGAGGCCATATGTAGGAGCTCAAGCTTCTTGCAGACCACTGATTCCAGGCTGGGCCTCGTGGTTTATGTCTGCATCAGGGTATGGGCTGTCAGGCCCCTGGCCTGTCCCCTGCCCCACCCCAGGCCTAGGTGCAGGCTTTGTCCTCAGAGGTGGAGCCATGGGTGCCCAAGGGGCTTTGACTGCTGAGCCATCAGGTGTGTGTGCTGAGATGGGTTTGAGCCCAGTCAGGACTCTTGCAGGACCTGTCCTCCCCCACTGTGAGTCTGCGTGATGGCCTCTCACAGTCAGTGAATGCCATGCCCAAAGTCCCTAGATGATAGCTTGGGCCCAGACTGGCCCTTGAAGTCAACTCTAGAGCCCTCTGCCCAAGCCCGCTCACTCTGCTAAGGAACGTGCCTGCCTCTGGAGCCCCCACTCCTGGCCAAGCACTCCTACCGCCCCATCCTGCAGGCTATGAAGAGACTCTGACCCGCCTGGCCGCCATCCTTGCCAAACACTTTGCTGATACCCGCATCGTGGGCACTGGTGAGGTGCCCTACAAAGAGGTTGGGGATATGGGGATGGGATGGCACTTCTGGCTGGCCATTTATTGCACAAAATGCTGGCCAGGTGGGCTTGAGGCATGGGGGCCAGGGCTCATGCCAGGTACCTGCTGAGGCACAGCCTGTCCCCACAGACATCCGTGACTCGCTGATGCAGGCCCTGGCCAGCTACGTGTGCTACCCACACTCCCTGCGGGCTGTGGAGCGGATCCCTGAGGAGCAGTGAGTGCGGGGGTCAGAGCAGGGAGGCATGCACTCTGACCCGCATGGCACCATGACTGGCCTCACCTCGTGCCCAATCCCCCTTGTCCTTGCAGGCGTATTGCCATGGTGAGGAGTCTCCTGGCTCCCTATGAGCAGCGGCCCTGGGCCCAGACCAACTGGATCCTGGTGCGGCTCTGGAGGGTAAGCACGGTTGGAGGGGAGGTGGATATGGCTGGCTGAAGGGGAGGGTTGCCCTGCCCCCTTGACCCCCACTGGCCCTTCCCACAGGGCTGTGGCTTCGGGTACCGCTATACACGGCTGCCGCACCTGCTGAAAACCAAACCCGAGGATGCCAACTTGCCTAGCCTCCAGAGTGAGTGTCCGGACTGGGTGACCCGGTGGCTCTGGCCCGCTGCTCTTGGTCTTCTTGGACTCTTCTCGCTTCTCCTAGCCTCTCTTTTGGACCCCTGTTGGGCCCCAGCTCTGTCCCAGGGTTTGTTTCCCCACTTTCCCCCAGTCCAGAGACACTCCAGAACACCTCCCCCTTGCTCCCCAGTCCCATGTGTGTCCTTTGGGCCTGAATGATGTACATGGGTCATGGTAAAAAGGGGCAGCATCTTCACAGGGTGCTGGCAGTTTCCTCAGAGTGAGGACTCCGAACCAGCTTCCTGACCTCCAATCTTGTCCTGGCACCATGTCCTCCTCCTACTTCAGTGTACTTGAGCCAAGCTAGGGGCACAGACTGGAGGTTGGCCAGGGCCCCAGAGGGTGCCCATGGGGTTTCAAGAGGAAGGGGCATTTGGTTGGGAGCAGAGGCCACACTCTCTCTCCAGGGGCCATGTATGGCCCAACCAAGCCCCATGAGCCTGAGGACCTTCACCTAGGCCCCGCCTGGGTCCTGGGTTGTCTAGCTTGTAGTCTGCCTGCCATTATCCACACTTGCCCCACATAGTGGTTTTCCTAGGCCTATGGGATATGTTTCTGCCTTCATGGTCAGGGTTTTTACACGAAGGGGTCACCAGAGGCTGAGTGCCTTGTGCAAAGTCACTCATCAAGTCCTTGCTGGTGGTCTTGGACATGCCTGCAGGTGGAACTGAGCTGCAGATGGAGTGGCAGTGGGACCAGATATTCATTCTGCTGCTATAGGAACTATTGATTTGTATGGGGGGGGGGTGTCCAGCCCAGCTGCAGCTAAGGGCTCTGGTTACCGCTCCCAGTCAGCCCAGACTTGGCATCCACCATCTCAGCCATATGCCAAGGCCAGGCCAAGGGCAGCAGAGGAGAGTAGAGGATGGCAGGGCTTTGACAGAGTAGGTCTTGGGGACGCCGGCCTCAATATGAATGAGGAGAGGCCTAGGTCACCCTGTCTAGCTCTCCCCAAAGGGCATATGGCTGAGGACTTACTTGGAGGCAAGCTGGGGCTGGGGGGCAGCTGTAGGCCAAAGGGATGGTGTGGGACCAGGAATAACTTCAGCCTGTGGCTTGCCAGCAGGAGGAGGGACAGATTGAGCCCTAACCCCCAGGCAGCACTGTACTCTGTCTTCCCTGCCTTCACGACCTGAGCATCCTCAGGGAGCCATCATTTTGTCCTTACACCAATGACCCAACAAGTGAGGACAGAGGTAGACAGGCAAGCGCCACAGACCAGAATCCCCAGTGATGCCACCTCGTCACGCCCCTGCAGAGCCCTGCCCCTCCACCCTGCTTCAGCAGCACATGGCAGACCTGCTGCGGGAGGGTCCCGATGTGGCACCCAGCTTCCTCAACAGCGTCCTCAACCAGCTTAACTGGGCCTTCTCTGAGTTCATCGGCATGATCCAGGAGGTGGGTCACAGTGGGTCGCGGTGGGCTGCAGTATTGCCGAGGACCAGGTATGATCTGCAGTGTGACCAGGCCACTTACTGCTTCTTGCCCACCTGCTGGTGGCTCAGATCCAACAGGCTGCTGAACGCCTAGAGCGGAACTTTGTGGACAGCCGGCAGCTCAAGGTGTGTGCCACCTGCTTTGACCTCTCGGTCAGCCTGTTGCGTGTCTTGGAGATGACCATCACGCTGGTGCCTGAGATATTCCTGGACTGGGCCCGGCCTACCTCTGAGATGCTGCTGCGGCGTCTTGCACAGGTGTGTCCATCTGGGCAGGGAGTGGGGGGCCCTGGGGACACCCCGGTGGTGAGCCCATCCATCCACTCCACCAATGGACTCCTGCCCTCACAGCTGCTGAACCAGGTGCTGAACCGGGTGACAGCTGAGAGGAACCTGTTTGACCGCGTGGTCACCCTGCGGCTGCCTGGTGAGGACCTAGTGCCCTGAACCCATCATAGCCATAGGCCTTGTTTCCTCTGCTACAAGTGGTGATGCCTAATTGTCCATTCTGCATTGGGACAGTCAGGCTTGGTACCCCCAGCCTTAGCTTGCCCTTCTGCGGGGAGGGCAGTGGGAAGGGGGGGCTCACACTAGCCAGAACCCCTGGTTCCCTCCTTTTCCCTTAGGCCTGGAGAGCGTGGACCACTATCCCATTCTGGTGGCTGTGACAGGCATCCTGGTGCGACTCCTGGTGCATGGCCCAGCCTCAGGGTGAGTGTTAGGCACCATGGGCCCATGGAAGCTGGCATGGCTGATGACAAGTGGGCCAGGCAGGGCCCCCTTGCTGCTGTGTCTTTATCTCTAAAATGGACCCCAGTATCAGGTTTTGAGGCCAGGGCAAGGCAGTGAGGTACAAACTGCCCAAATAGGTGGTGGCAATAGTGGCTCTGAGTAGGCAAATCGGGGACCCCAGCAGAACAGGGTGCCCAAGGCCCACAGTCACAGCCACTGGCTTGTGGTTGCACCTCAGGCATGGGTGGGGTGCTATCCTGCAGCGCCCAGCACAGCGCTGCTGGGATCAGGGGCTGAGCTCACGCGCTGCCACTTGTGTTCACGAAAGCTCTGGTAATGAGCATGTGCCACCTTTATTAAGGAACAACTGGATCCAGGACTTGTAGGAGCCCCCAGCTCGGCACCCACGCAGGAGGGGTTCCCAGACGCCACCCCCTTCCCTGCCTCCCTGTGGTGGGTGGTAAGAGCATATGAGACCAGGGCACTGCCTCAGCCATTAGACCAAGATCAGTGCCAGCCCTTAAGAGGCTTCTACCCTCAAGGGATGGCAAGTTCTGGCTCGGCTCTCCCATCTTGGCCATGCTCAGGCTTTTTACTGCTAAAAAGCTGGGGGCACAGGTCACGTTGCTCCTTACTGCTGTCTTGTGAGCCCACGGTAAAGGCCCTGCTCTCAGAGTGGCCCGAGGCTGCCCCTGGCCAGAGGGAGCAGGACTGCTCTGGCTGATACACAGGCCAGGCCGCCTGGGGTTCTCTTAAGGAGCCCTGCCTGCTTCCTTCCTGCCCAGCAGACTGCATGGAGTTGTGGAGCTTGAAGTAGGTTGGATGTTGGTGCATGTTTCCTCCTTCCACCCTGGGTGGGGGCCTAGGTCTTCCTCTGGAGCCCTCCTCTTCCCCTGTGAGCCCACTCTTCCTGTCCCCTTGGGAAGGGGAAGATGTTTATGCTTCAGTACTTCCTTCATCACAGCTTGGTAGCTGCCTTGGCCCCTGAGGGTGTACCTGGGACTCGCAGGCAAGGGCTCTTTCGGATGGCCCCAGTTCCAGTCCTCGTGGGACGTGTAGGCACCAGTAGGTCCTACTAGGGCCTAGGACCTTTGGGCCCTGTGTTAGAGCAGAGCAGGAGAGAGGGTGGGGAGCTCAGCGCTCCCACCAGCATCTGGAAGTTGTCAGGGCAGCAGCAGGGAGCAGGGCAAGCAGCAGGTGGTCAGTGGCCTGGCTCTGGGCCCCGGGCACCCTAGGTCATCACCAGACCCTCAGAGCCCGTGGAGCTAGCGGACTCAGAACCAGCCTTGAGCCGCAGGCCCACAGGATTGTAGAGATCAAAGTCCTCAGCTACCGCCAGCTGCACACGTCCATTGAGGCCCCTCCTGCCCGGCTCCAGAAAGACCACATGCTTGTGGACACTGGCCTTGCGGCTGGGCACATCCGGTGGTGTGCTGAGCACCGAGGACTGTGCGCTCAACTCCTGGAGGGGGCTGGGCACCCTGGGCCAGCAGCGACAGTGGCAGGTACGACGGTAGCAGCGGCGGCAGCCCGGGCAGGGTGGCGCGAAAAGGTAGAGCAGCACGAGCACCAGGCCCACAGCGCAGCCCAGCAGGGTAGTGAAGCCTGTGTTGAAAGCCTCGGGCTCAGGGTGTGGGAAATGCACGCTCACATTGTACTCGTGCGTCTGGTTGTGATGCAGGTGGGGCCCGGCTGCCAGGCACACAAAGACCCCCTCGTGCTGCGGCTGCACGTTGCTGATGGCCAGGCTGCCATCAGCCAGCACTGCGATGCTGCCATCTCGGGATCCCGGCGCCACCAGCAGCTCATGCTGCGGTGACACCCAGGCGATGCGCACAGCTGGGGCACTGGTGTTGCAGTGTAGCCTCAGGGACCGACCCATCTGCACGTGCAGCTGCACTTCGGGCCGCTCTAGGCCCTGAGCCAGGGCAGCTGAGCAATTCTCAAAAACACGGCTGTGCTCAAAAAAGCGCACGCGGGATGTGGGTACCTTGAAGGCCAGGCACATGTACTCTCGGGCAAAGTCACTCACAGCGCTTAGGCCCCGCTGGTGCCAGCGCTGCAGCAGGTGGTAGAGATGGCAGTCACAGGGCAATGGGTTGTTGTGCAAGTAAAGGCCGTTCTTAAGAAAAGCTGGTAGTGCAGCCAGGTCAGGTACCGCGATGCGTCCCAGACGGTTGGAAGAGAGATCCAGAGTACGTAGGTGGGTCGTGCCCAGACCGTGCAGGTGGTCAAAGGAGAAGGAGGAGAGTTCGTTGCAGCCCAAGTAGAGACGGCTGAGTGAGCCCAGGCCATGGAAGGCGTGCTCGTCCAAGTGTGCTAGGCGGTTATTGTACAGCAGCAGCCTCTCGAGCGCCCCCAGCCCGTCGAGGTCGTGGCGGCCAAGCGCCCTCAGCGCGTTAGACGATAAATCAAGCAGCCGCAGGCCGCTGGCGTTGGTGAAGACTCCGCGACCTAGCACTTCCAGTTCGTTGTGGGCTAGGTGCAGGGCGCGCAGCCGGGAGAGGGGCGCCAGCCAGCCGGGGCGCAGGCGCTGGAGTGCGTTGTGGCTCAGGTCGAGGTCTGCAGCAGCGGCAGGCAACGCAGCTGGCACGTCCTGTAGCCCCAGGCCCGCGCAGCTCAGCAGGTCGGCGGCGCACACACATTTGTGGGGGCAGTTATGGGGCGCGGAGGGCAGGAAGCCCTCTGTGCCAAGGCTGCCCACCCCGACGCACAGCATGCACAGCAGTGCGCCCAGCAGCCCCAACCACGCCATGGTGGTTAGTGTGTGGGGTGCGGCTCTGGGACTCACCCACTTCTGCTGGATGTGGGCTCCATCCCGCACGCCGACCGCCCTTGCTTCCCCGCTCCAGGTCGAGATTTGGGGCCGTGCTCCACTCAGCGATCCCTCCTCCGGCTCCCCCAGCTCTCTGGGTGCTTCCCTGACCAGCTTCTAAATACTCTCCCGGAGGAGGGCGGGGCCTCAGCCTCCCATTGGCCACAGGTCGGAGGAGGTGGGACAGCTCACTTACTCCCCCGCCCCCCCCCCCGCGACCAAGGTCCTAATGTGGCCGCCAGAGGGGGCACGAGTCTGTCCCTGATACTCCAACCTGTTTGGCCAATGGCTTTTCCCGGTGCCTATTTCCCCCAGAATAGCAGGAGGGAAACTTGGGAGGCACGCCTTTAAGCTGCTAGTGCTATTTATTTGTTTTCTTTGGAGTTAAGTGTATATTAGGGGGTGGGCAGGCTTTCAATATGTTAGTCACCTATTTAAACTGGTACCCGGGCTGTATGGGTTCTTACTGGGACCTAGGACTGGATGGGGAGGGTTAAGGGGAGAGGCAATGTGAGTAGCAGGGAGGTGGGGTGGGATGAGGCAATAATGCAGGTGGGATGAATTGTCCCACCACCCCACCCCTCCAATAGATGTTGCTTTCAGACAGGCCCAACCTTCTGACTACCCTGCACCCTCTTCCACCTAGGACCGAGAGAGCCACATCAGTGCTCCTGGCCGATCCCTGCTTCCAGCTCCGCTCTATATGCTATCTCCTGGGGCAGCCAGAGCCCCCTACCCCTGGCACTGCCCTGCCTGCCCCTGACCGGAAGCGATTCTCCCTGCAGAGCTGTGAGTGGGCCCGGGGTGGGTCAGGGAAGAGGAATTTGGGGCTGGGGTATAGGTCAGGAGTCTCCATAAAAGCAAATTCCCAAGTTGTGGTATTTAAGAGGCACCGAGTTCTAGGGCCATCTTGGGTCTCTGACACCTGCCACCACTCCCCCAGACACAGACTACATCAGTGTTGAGGAGCTGGCCCAGGTGGAACAGATGCTGGCACACCTGACTTCTGCATCTGCCCAGGCAGCAGCTGCCTCCCTGGTGAGTGGGGGCCACTGCACACACACCACACCACTCACGTTGGCACAACTGTGCACACCACATGGCATGGTCTATATGTCTCCTTGTCTGGGTATCTGACCCCAGCCCACCCTGCACTCTGCTCCCCGCAGCCCACCAGTGAGGAGGACCTCTGCCCCATCTGCTATGCTCACCCCATTTCTGCCGTGTTCCAACCCTGTGGCCACAAGTCCTGCAAGTAAGTGGGCCCTATGGGGGTGCAGGGGGCTGGGGAAGCAGCAGGGATACACAGGCCCCCCCCCCCCGCCTCCTCCTCCTCCCTTTGTAGAGCCTGCATCAACCAGCACCTGATGAACAACAAAGATTGCTTCTTCTGCAAAGCCACTATCATGTCTGTAGAGGACTGGGAGAAGGCAGCCAGTGCCAGTACCACTTCCTCGGCCGCCTAGCCCACACAGCAGCAGCCTCCACCCTTGAACTCCAACCCAAGCTGGGCCCTATTTGAGTTCCTCTTGCCCTGTTCCCCGTGTCTTTCCCCCATCCCCACCATGTCCAACCTCCTTATCTGAGTGTAACCTCATTGGTGGGAGCCCACCCATGTCCTAATTGTGCCTGAGCTTGACTTTCAGTCAGGGCCACAGTGAACATTAAATTATTATTCCATACAGCCCTAGTCTGGCCCTTCTTGAGGGAGTGGGCTTCATGAAGGATGCCTAGCAAGGATCCTGCCAGATGATGTCCACAGGAGAGGGCAGGTGTCCAGCAGCTTCAGCCTTGTCTAGTCCTGAGATAACGGCGAGTCCAGGGCCTTTTGAAGTGTCAAGCCAGGGCTCCCCATGCCAGTGGGGAAATGGAGACTCAGCCAGCCGCACGGCATCCTCTCACATGATGATGCGAGGCTCCGGCACCGACTCACCAATAGACTTGTGGGGCAGCACGCTGGCCCCATTGAGGTAGAGCTCGTCGTTAACTATGACGTCCTCACCCAGCACTGTCACGTTCTCCATGCGCACCTCGGGGGAGGGGGCAGGCCCGGTCAGCAAGGCAGGCATAGTCCCTGCCCCTCTCCCCATCTGGCCCAGCCCATGGGCTTACCCACTGGCCCACGCGGCAGCGCCAGCCCACAATGCAGGACTCAAGCCAGGAGTGGGATCGGATGTGGGCGTCTCGCAGCACTGTGCATCGCCGGATACACACCCCGTCCTCCACCACCACGCCAGGACCCAGGCTCACGTTGGGGCCAATGCTGCAGTTCTGGCCAATGCGGGCACTTGGGTCCTAAGGACAATGGGGGAAATACAAGTGAGCCACTTGTCTCCCAGACAAGCGGGGCACGGAGGGGTTTATGACGGGCTGGGCAGGGGCCTCACCACCAGCACGTTGCCCACAATGCCAGGGCCTGAGCACAGTTGCTCAGGCTGCTTCTGTCGCAGGGACTGTAGGAAGAGGCACATGCCGGTGAGGAAATCCTTAGGCTGCCCTATGTCCATCCAGAAGCCTGTTGGGAGGAAATGCATCAGGGGGCTCAGCCCAGCCACACCCCTCCCCCATCCTGTGGCCTCCCTGCCTCACCCTGCAGTTCCATGGCATACAGCTGCCCCTCCTTGGCCATGACAGGAAAGATCTCCTTCTCAATGGATGTAGGCTGCAGCTGTGGGAGTGGGCAGCTTGTGAGCAGGGTCATGGGGGTGGGGGCCTGCCCTACCCCAGCCCACCCCTACACACCTGGATGCGTCGCAGCACTGCAGGGTTCAGAATGTACATGCCTGCGTTGATCTTGTTGGACACAAACACCTGTGGCTTCTCCACGAACCGGTGAATGCGGCCTGTGTCAGCCTCACATACCACCACACCATACTTAGAGGGTTCCTCCACTTTGGTCACCTGAGTAGAGGGGGACCTCAGGCCCAATCTAGTGTGCCTGAGCCTTGACATGCTATGCATACTGTCCTAAATCTCAGGGGCTGTGCCCCAAATGCTTAAAGACACATACTGCAGAGGGGAACCTGGGTGGCTCAGTCGGTTAAGCATCCGACTTTGGCTCAGGTCATGATCCCGCAGTCCGTGGGTTCAAGCTCAGAGCCTGGAGGGAGATTCTGTGTCTCCCTTTCTCTGCCCCTCCCCACGCATACTCTGTCTCAAAATAAACATTAAAAAAAAAAGCCCATACTGCACATCTCTGCACCCACAACAGAAGTGGACAGTTAAGGGTTGGAGAGTGGAAGAGTGGGGTGGAAGAGCTGGGCAGCGGGGGCAGGGGTGTCAGAGAAGACAGACCAATCCCTTACCAGGATGGAGCCCTCCTGGCCATGGTGCCGGTGGAACTGCACCATGGCTTGGAAGGGGAAATCGCAGATCACATCACTGTTGAGAACGAAGAAAGGGTCTGCAGTCTCAGAGAGCAAGTCACGGGCCAGTGCCAAGGGCCCAGCTAGGAGAAAGGTGGGGGTCTGAACCTCTGGAACCAGGCTCAGCAGACCACGCTGAGTCTTACCTCTTCTCAGGTCCTAAACCCTCCCCAAGGGAGCTTTCCTGTCTTTACTGACCTGTCCCTAAAGGCTCCTCTTCGTGAGACATGGAAATTCGGATTCCCAGCTGAAAGGGATAAGCCACCTGTCAGGTGCCTCCCACCAGGAAGGGTGGTTGCGCGGAGAGCAAAGAAAAAGGGCAAGAGTCAGAGCCTCACCCTCTGCTCCTGCGCCTTCATTTCCTTCTCCAGCACCTGAGACATGTAACTCACCGCCAGAATCACGTGGTCCACGCCTGCCTGTTGGACAAAACAGCGCGGCCAACAGGTCTCAATCAGAAGGCACGGGCGTTCACGACCTTGTCCCTAATCCTGCCAGATTCCACCCGACACCCACCCCGGGGTCTTACCGCGGCCAGCGCTTCCACCTGGTGCAGCAAGATGGGCTTATTGCAGAAATCCACCAGTGGCTTCGGGATGCTCAGCGTCAGCGGCCGCAGACGCGTCCCATAGCCGCCCACCAAAATCAGTGCCTTCATCCCGCTTGCGGGCGTCCGGTGAGTGAATCCCTGGCTCCGAAACCTCCGCGGCCCGGCCCGCCCGGCCAAGCCCTGCCGCGCACTCCCAACCGCCGCACCCGGCCCGAGCCCTTCACCTGCCAGACTGACCCACTCTGGCTCTGCCTTGGCCGCCCAGTCCGCCCTGACGACCGCCCGGGGCAGCACACAGCAGGACGCGACGCCAGACGGAGGGCTGCTAACCCCGAACTCAGGCCCGACCTAGGCGGGCGGTGACGTTGGCCCGAGCCGACCAATTGGCTGCCGTATACGTGGCACAGACGCCGACGTCCGAACGCTGGGGCGCGGCGCGCCGGCTGACGTAGCCAATGAGAGCCCGAGCACGCCGAGCTGCTATGGGGACCGGGACGGGGCCCGCGGGTCAGCCGCCCATTGGCGGATCCAAAGGCGGAACTGGCGCCAAGGGCGAGGCTCTCTCGCGGACGGGTGCCGGGGTCCTCCGCTGCACGGCCGTTTCCGGCCCTGCCCCGGCACAGCGGCTCACGGGACGTGGCGGAGGGAAAAGCAATGGGGTTAGTCCGTCTCCCGGGAGCCGCGGGACTGTAAAGACGCAGACACAGCTCAGTTTCTAGCGGCTTTATTTTGACATACACGACCTCAGACACAAGCGGGGCGGGCAGCGCTAGGTGTACAGAGAGGGGCGGCCCGGCCCCAAGGCCCGAGCACCCCTCCCCCGCACGCAAGGTCCCAAGGAGACGCAGTGGCCCAGCCAAGGGCGGAGCCGAGAGTGGAAGGGGGTGCAGACCTCGGGCGGCTTGGGCAGGTTTAGGCAGCTTTCAGGAAAGTGGAGCAGAGAGCGATTCCTAGATATGAGGCCTTACAGTTCCCCGAGAAGCAAAGGAACCACATCCTTCCCAGGTGCTCCAAATTTTCTCATTGAAACTTTTTTTAATCAGCACAAAAAAACCAAATTGAACAGCTTTAAAGTTC